AAATCAATCTGGAGGACATCATTGGACACCTTAAATGGACATATATGTTCAATATGCATTATGATTGGATGAGATCAAAGCATTCGTATTTGATGAAGGTATAAATGTTGAGTTGGGGTGGTCGCACTCTTGGTCGCACTCTGCAGTCAACTAGGATGACTGTATGACTGTTGAACTTTTCTTGCAAGAAAATAAATATTCGAAAGGCTTTTGTCTCATACCTTTATTGGGAAAAGCAAAATTGCCACGACACTAGTTTTAAAAGTTAGACATCTATTTTATTTTTTTTTTTCTTGGTCACTTTATTTTAAGGTCCAATTCTCGCTATTAACAAACCATTAACTACGACGTTTGCCTCAATAAACTCCTAATTTGCTGCTTATTAATAGTTAGTAAGGTAGTTGTTAAGTTTAGGTATTGGGTAGGATTAAGGATGTAGAATATGGTCATGTTGTATAAATGCTTTATAAGTATTAATAAACAGCCAATGTGTTAATAACAGGCATGCTTATAGCAACTAGTTAATAGTGAGAATTGGTTCCTATACTAAAGTGTTACCATTGTATTTATTTATTTATCTTCTTTGGTCACACTTTAGTTTGGGATCCAATTCTCACTATTAACCATCAACAATGACTTTCGCCTCAATAGTTGTTAAAGGGTTAGTTCACCCAAAAATGAGATTATTACGTTTTGAATATGGATATTTTTCTTACAAAAACGCATCGATTCGCTACAGGAGGCCTTTGTTTACCCCCCGGAGCCATGTGAGACACTTTTTTTATGGATGGGCGCTTTTTATTTAACTTCTTTTGGACTGATGCATGCAACACCCACTGAGTGCCATGAAACAGCTTGAAAGATCAAAGACAATTTTTAATATAACTCCGACTGGATTCGTCTGAAAGAAGAAAGTCATATACACCTAGGATGACTTGAGGGTGAGTAATTTGTGGACTAATTTTCATTTTTGGGTGAACTAACCCTTTAAGTTTAGGAATAGGGCAGGATTGAGGGATCTAAAATATGGTCAAAAAGAATAAGGCATTAACGTGTGCTTTATAAGTACTAATAAACATCCAATATGCTAATAATATGCGTGTTAGTAAATGACTAGTTAATAATAGTGAGAAATGGTCCCTAAACTAAAGTGTTACCTTTTTATTTGTTCTTCAAGACTGGTCTTTTTTAAGTCAGTTACATAAAAAGGCAGATCGGTTCAATTTGAATCTGAAAAGTAAGACTGTTTACCACTTGTTTAACTGCTGTTTGTTGGTCAAACTAATTCTTAAGACAGTCTTAACATAGTGGCCATGTTTATGCATCTAGACCCTGTTTACAGCTCAGATTTAGTTTATCATGTAACGATTTGGCTGCACCAACAATAATGCTAATTTGACCGGACGTTGTATTTCCACAGTAAGCCTATAAACTTAAACATGCAGGCCTGTTCAATTTCTAAGACATTTGACATCTGCATATAAAACACAGCTGACGCTTCAGTCAGAGCTGCTTACAGCAAAACAGAGAACAAGATTTCGGTTCTCTATACTGAGAAACATGAGTCAGTATATTAAAAGTGAACAAGAAAGCTTCATCTTTCAAAGGTCATTCAAAAACTATGTTTCCTTCACAAACTATACACCACTTCAACTTTACAACAAACATAGAGGTCGTCTTGTGCTGTCTAAACACTCTTTCACAGTCAACCTTCATCATCTGTGTATCTTTTGGTGTTTATATTATCAATTCAGGCACGTTGCCCGGTAGTCTAGTTGTTGTGAACTTCACTTGATTTGTTGAAGTTTTGACACTGGTTACAGTTATGCTGCAAAACATATATTCACCATATGATGGTACAGCACCCATAGCCGATCACTGTTTTTGTTGCATAGCAACATTCTATCTTGCCTACATTCTAGGAGAAGTATGACACCATATGGCAATGGATTTGGCACTCAATCCACTATGCATTGTACCTAACAATGCACTTTAGCCATAACTATATGTAACAGAAGCCAGCTTGGAAAGCTGTGTAACTAAACCTCACTTCTCTGGCATCAAGAGACACAATAGCATCTGACGCTAGAGGCTGCAGTCTGTAGAATCCTGGTTAGCATGCCTGCCCCCCATTGATGCTGGTTTAAATCCCACTCAGGGCGGTGCAAGCAGGACCAGTTAGACTGGTGCTGTGACCTGGATAGGAGTGAGGTTTACAGGGGGGTCTTTAGAATCAATGTTAGCACAATTGCATCCAGTACTGGTTGGAGCTGGTTCGAATCCTGCTTGGAGCAGTGTGAGTAGGACCAGTTACAATGGTGCCGTGACCCGAATGGGAATGTGGTTTAAGGGGGTCTTTAGGATTAGTGCACCCACCTCCAATGCCAATGGCTCAAACCCCATTTAGAGTGGTGAAAGTAGGACCAGTTACATACACACACAATATTCCAGAAAGTTATTTCTACCCAACCGCATCCCCATTTGGCCAGCAGCGTCCCTGGCTGTAGGTGGGGCATCAGTTTAGGGAACAAATTGCATGGTGTAATCTGATGGTGACCATGCCTTTTTAGACATATTGAAATCCCACCAACACTAAGTGTTGTTGTGCTTTAGGGGACCTGTGTTTGAATCCTGCAAGACAGACAGATGCAGAATGCAAGGACACTCCAATCACTATGTCCACAAAATGTGGTGACAATAGTTGTTTTTCTGCTACAAACTATTTATTTATTTATTCATTTATTTGTTTTCTTTTTTACATTTTTGCACAAGGCCTTAAAATAGAGGAATTTCAACAATGAAAAGACTGGCAAGAATCCAGTAATTATTTTATTTTATTATTACAGAAAATGAGATAAGGGAGCCCAGGGAAGGTTGGCACAGGGTTTATTTCTGGGACATATGTTGTATTCATGAAAATGTAACATCTGAATGTTTATCTTCTTGAAAGACTAAAATTTATTGACCTGAGGACAATTTTAACAAGTCACCCTACAGATACTTTTATGTTAACAGGACATTAAATGTTCTAAATATGATAAAATAAAAATGTGTGCAGTTGAGGGTTAAAGGGATAGTTCACCCAAAAATGAAAATTCCCCCATGATTTACTCACCCTCAAGCCATCCTAGGTGTATATGTCATTCTTCTTTCAGATGAATAAAATCGGAGCTATATTAAATAATGTCCAGGCTAATCCATGCTTTATAATGGGAGTGGATGGTAGCCCAAAATTTGAAGTCCAAAAAATTGCACCCATCCATTATAAAAGAAGTCCACACGGCTCAGGGGGGTTAATAAAGGCCTTCTGAAGTGACGCGATGTTTGTGTAAGAACAATATCTATATTTACAACTTTATAAACCTTAACTTCTAGCTTCCGCTGTCGTACGCACGTTCATGAGAGAGTGGCATCCAGCGGATGATGTAGGCTACCATACACTCCCATTATAAAGCATGGATTAGCCTGGACATGATTTCATATAACTCCGATTGTATTCGTCTGAAAGAAGAATGTCATATACACCTAGGATGGCTTGAGGGTGAGTAAATCATGGGGTAATTTTCACCATTTTTGGGTGAACTATCCCTTTAACTTCTTGTTATTTTAACTCTTCGTTGTGTGAGTACGCTGATCTTTTGAAGCACTTTGCACTGTAAATAACCATCTATTTTCATTCCCTCATGCATCGCATTCATCGCTGGTATTACCATAAGCAGTAAGTACTTATCTAATATCTGATTCAGATGTTGCAGTCTTGAGAGGAACAGTCAGTGCAGGATAAACAAAAACAGAATACCTCTGGCAGCAGACTGAAGCCACATGTTTTGAATGCCAGTGAGTTAAGTGCATAAATGCTAGCATGTCAGCTGGGTTTTAAAATCCACATGTGGGTGTGCCGTTGGGTTTTGAGAAACCCCCTCCCTCCCACTCCAGTGAGCACACCCATGCCGCTTCCAGCCTGTCTCCGCCCACAGCTCAGAGACTCCAAAGGCTGTCAAGGGCCTGTGGATTTTGCCATATGATAAGAGACTGTATCAAATCTGCATGGGAAACACTAGCAGGGCTCTGTTACAATGCTCAGAGAGGCAGCTCTGCATCTCCCCTAGCATTCCACTGCTTTAACCCTCTCATATGAATCCCTTTGCAATAAGAAATGTGTTGTTACACTAACACATAATTGATAGTATATGGTTGTGAACTTATTTCACAGTAACCTGTCCGGTTTTTTTTATACAAATTAAAAGTTGGCGCTAAACAAACAGTAAAAGGTAAAGCATCTCGCATAATGCCTCATAGATAAATATAGCTTATGCAACACCACACACACGAGGCAAAGCCAACACAAGGTGTTAGGTACACAACACTCACGTAACACTCCCCAGCCCTGGGAGTAACGTTAATAAGAGTCAGTCAAGGATATTATTATTTCTACAGTCAAATTTTATTGTGATAAATATTATTATACATCAGTTACACTAGACTTCCCACTGTACAGGTGTACAGACACTGTCCTAATTCATTTAAATGTTCTAAAAACTACATTATATGTGTCCGTGTGTGTTGTACGTGTTGTCTGCCATATATTAAGCGTATATCTTAAATAAGACCCCAAAACTTAAATTAATGGTTTGGTTTAGTGCTGGCAAATTAGTAATGAGTAGTCAAGTGGTTTGCGAAGAACTCATTTCACATATTTACATATAGCTCCGCCGTCACGTAGCTGTCGTGCTGCAATACAGTTTCATTCCTGTACACCAGTAGCCTGTTTGACCATGAACCTTTCAGAAGCAAATACTTCAACATTTGTTGTTTTTTGTTTTTATCTTTATTGACAATGATCCTGTACTGCCCCCAAACATGTAAAAAATTAAAAGTCTAATTCAACTCTACACACTTTTCAGATTAAATGGAGTCACTGTCAGTCCTGAAGGAAGAAATCCACACAATAATTCCATGCTGTAGCCACCTGCGTTTCCATTCTGTAGCCTAGGACTTACCTTTCCCAAGGTTCTGTGTGGTTCTTCCAAAGCCATGTGTGTGCTTGAGCTGAAAGCTTGGCTGTATAAAGACTGCTATACTGGCATTCATGTGTCCTCCATGCTCAGCTTCACATGAGTGAGAGTGTGTAGTGTCGTGATAACTCTTGAGTGCTGTAGGCTTCCATTTATAGACCCAAGAAAGCCTCAAATAGACTGCAGACAGTGGGGAGCCCATGACAACAATTACAGTCAAAACATTGCCGTCCATTGATCTTACTGAAATTATCACAGATGGGATCATTTACCTCTGATGCTTTTGCACTATGGTTGTGTGCAGTTAGTTGTAAAAATGTGTAACCTGGGTTTTGTTAAAGTGTTGTTGTTTTTTTGTTTTTTTTTTATAATCAGGGCTGTGCAGAGACCTTTGGAGGGGCAGGTGCTCAAAGTATAAAAGGAGCACATGGAACAAGGCTTTAAATAGGGATGTGCTCAAAATATCAATACAGCAATATACTGTGGCGCATTCCTTGCTGATACACAAATCGATACGGATGCTTCTGTGTTGATACAGCAGCAGTGACGCGATTTTGAAAAAGAAACACCGGACAGAAAAGACCATTTTAAGTTAAAAATGTAAAGATTTTTTTCTTTGCGCCTCTTAATTACTCTGGAATTAGAAACTGAATTATTATTATTATTATTATTGAGTTTACAGTGTATGGTGGTTTTGCTGTTGTACACTACTGTTGCTGTTGTAAAAAAAATATTTCTGTCATATTCAAAATAGAATTCTATTACATGCAGTGTAACAGAATTCTGTATAATCTATACATGACCTTTTATTCGTATCCCTTCATATGAGGGGTTGTGAACATCATGGAGCGCTAAGTCCAAAATGGACTCATAGAAGTAATAACTTATGACGTGCAGGAAATCCCTAATATGGACAAAAGCATCCGGCTAGCGCTGTGGGCAAACCAATCTCTGCTGTAGCTCAGCTGAATAAAAAGCAGAAACGTTTTTTCTGATGAAACGTGAAAACAATATACACACAATTGGGAAAATATATGATTTATGTGTGTTTTTCAAGTTAATAAGCTAATAAATAAATAAAGTATATGAATAATGCAGTACTGATTGACATATCATTTAGTATGGAAACTATAATATATATTTACTGCCTTATTCTGTGATAAAAATGGGAAAAAGGTGTTCGTAGTTGCCTTTATAAACCAATCATAAAATTGTCATTAGGAAAATATTATTAATTAATTAATTAATAATATAAGTATACAAGCACACAGCTCCGCTGAGAACTCCACTTACCAGCAGCCGCGGACATTATTGAAGATATCTGGTAGTGCGCTAAATTACTAAAGGTGTCTGAACATGAGGGATAGTCCCGGATGAGATCGTCAGGTGAAAGGTCATCATGTGAATAATTTTATTTACGGCTAAATTATTATTCATTAATTTTAGTTAGATTGGGCAGGCCTTCAAAAAAGGGTGTTTAATTACAACAACAAAAAAGCCTTGACAAAAGGGCACTTTGGGCATCAATTTCAATGGAATTTGAAACTGAATTTGAACTTTTAATATCACACGTTTTAAAGGCACATTAAGTGTTTTCACATTAAACGTTTTGGAATGTACCACTGTTTTTAGCGATTGAAATATTGAGGCGGTTGCTTTATATGGATTGCAAATGGCCAAAACTTGCATTTTGTTCACAATGGCATGAGTTTGTGTAAGAGGTAGTGGAAACCTGTTTGCAAACACTTATTACTTTTGCAATTCTATTAAATAAATTACACTACACATTTACATTTTTTTTCCAGTATGAATTGCATGAGCAAATTCCATTTGATTTATATTTAATTAATAGGCAATGTTTTAAAGCAATGTATATATATTTATACAACAGTTACTTCTGGTCCTCAGATCTGATTGGCCTGAGAGGTCTTTCCAGCCGTGTGATATTCTACCAGTATCGCCACGGGAATCATTTCACCATTTGTATCACTCCACTTGCAGTGTTTCTCATAGTGAGCATCATGACAGTGGAGCAAACCCACTATAAATTTATAAATACTACTGTTGTTGTGTCACTGAATGTAGTTTTAAGTTTTTTAGGCAGAATGTAGGTTTAAATTTCAAACATGCGATTTATTAATAAAGACAGCACTTATTCGAAAATTTGCTTTGACGTTTTCAGAAATCTGAGCTCCAGGGTGTCAGCGGGTGTTCAGCACTCAAGAAGCCGCCGAGAGCAGCCTTACCTCGGCCAGCTCTTCTGGAATTTGTCGCTGGCTCTGATGTCTCTATAGTGATTAAACATGAGATATAATTTGTTTTGGGTCTAATGAGCTGATGATCTGAATCAGGTGTGTTTGATTAAGGAGTCATGGAAAACATGCAGTGTTGGGGGGCCTCCAGGAATGTGGTTGGGAACCACTGCTATAGTGGTTAAATTATAGAGCTATAATTCATTTTGGGCATATCTAATGGGTCATCTTTGGTCTCATTAATCTATTTGTTCCAGAGCAAATAGTTTTGGCTGAGGGCAAAGTTTCATAATTTAATATTTTTATATAACTTTAATACTGTAGATCAGAGCGCTTCCTTTGTACTTTTGACAGAATTGCTTAGCAATGAATAATATTTTATATAAATAATATCTAGAGCCATATTGCACTCCTACTCATGTGATATTGCTCGTTTAAGTATACCTCAAGCATCCAAATACCAAATACAAATGCCACTGACCACTGTACACTTTTCTTGCTAATTCTATGAAAGCAAATGTTCAAAACACCAACAAAACAGTGAATTATGGCAGAAATTGACATGTTAAAAACAAACAATATATACACTTTAGTTTTCTGCAGTTCAAATTTAATTTCTTTATTCATAATATATTTGTTTTTACTCCTCTGCCCAATGATGAGCATTTCAACTTAGAGACAGATGGTGTTTGTTTTTGGCCTCATTTTAATTTTTATGAAGCCTCAGTCTATCAAAACTCATTACAAATTTTCTGAACTGTCTGAAAATGATCAAATGTAAGTGCCACTTGGGAAGGACAGTGATGCACATGATGCAGAAAATAAAAACAAAACCACAACACCACCAGCTTTCTGTACAATAGAGCAGACTTAAAATATTGTGTATTATTATTATTATGTTTTGAATGTTTCTATATTTTATGGTTTTTAAACATGTCAACATCAACCAAAATGAAGTAATATTGTTTGATTAAAGGGGTCCTATTATGCTTTTTCACTTTTTCAACTTTAGTTAGTCTGTAATGTTGCTGTTTGGTAAGGGACATGACATTTCCCGACCAGGCGCCGAGTGCTGCCAATCACAACACACACTGGCCCAGCTAACCAATCACACACAGGCTTTCATTTGATACAGGAACTATTCGAGCTGTTAATACCAGACTGTGGAGAGAGTGTTGTAATAATGTTAAATATGTGAAAAATAAAAAAAAGTTTTTCGAACAACCTAGTTGTAATGGAGCCGACGAGACGAGAGACGTGCGGATCCATCTGCAAAGCTTTTATTTAAAGGCGTGTCATAAAACAGGCAAGGTTCAAACAATGGCAAACAGGTATATGAGGGCAAGACGAAGAGTAATCCAAAACGGGCGTGAGTCAGTCAGCAGCAAACGTTATCCAGAGGGCTTGACAAGAGGGGAAATCCAATAACACGAGCAATAGTCCAGGCAGGAGCAAACAGAGTCCGAACGGCGAGACAAAAGGGCAATCCGAGAAACACAGGCAGGAATCAGAACACGAGAAAACAGGCAAGGCAAGACTAAGACTAAACTATGAAAACTAGGAATGGCTCCGTAGAGGAGCTATCGCTCGGTGAGTGGTAAGCGCTAAACAATAATCAGCAATGTGTGTGTGGATGAGTGCAACCTTTATAGTGTCACTGATAGGAAACAGGTGTGGTGCAATAATGAGTTCCTAGGCAGGGGTTTATTGGGAATGGAGTCCGGAGAGAACCAAGACAAAACCCCTTATTGTGACACTAGTATGAGAGCCTGTTCTAGTACACCCCCAAAACAAAATCAAGACTTTGTAAAAGAGCATAATAGGGCCCCTTTAAGTTTAATTAATTTGAAACTGTAGTAAAATTCTGAATATCTGTCTTGTTTGGCTTTGTTAACTCTGGTTTTACCGCAGAATTAATCAAACAAATTAACATCTGTTTTATTGAACACACTCATCAATACTAAAGGCAACACCGTTACCCTCCGAGTCGCGGCCGTTGTGGCTGATCAATGATACCTGACTCAAGTGCAGAATTGGGACATTACTCTTCTTTTGTAGATACTGCCTCTAAATCAATTGTTCTCTATAAACTCCAGTGATTTTCTCTAGTGATTATAAAATTAGTTTATACTGCTTTCAGATTTGGGTGTCAGGAGAATGTGCTCAGTGAATCTGAAACTCTAGGAGGTGAAAAAGAACAACAAAAAAGCTGTCAGTAAGTGAACCGTCATCACTCTGTTCTCCTCAGTTAATTCTGAATTTACTGAAGCTGTGCCTGGAAAAGGAAAAAGCATAGACAGATCTTGTGAGTCTGTAAGAAATGGGAAAAGAAGGGGGAAAAAACAAACCACCCCTGGCTAATCAGTAAGCATAGGTAGTGCTTCAGTTGCCAGGGTTATTCAGCATTCAACTTCAAAATAATGAATCATCAAGTGTTTCCAAACAAATCTATTTACTATTCTGGTACGTGTCCACCTGCAGCATCCACCTCCTGTAATTATTCTTAACCACGCCAGTAAAGGCAACCTAAAAGAATGGGCCGCAATCTTCACAACTTGGTGTGTTGTGCATTCTAGCCACAGCTGGTACTCTCCATCACTCAGTGCGCCTCCATAAGCCTCCTAACGCTGGAATAATCACTCACGGAGAGGGGGTGCTGGCTCTGTAACCTCTGAGTCATGCAATTCCGCCAACACATCAGAGTCTCACGGACTACCTTTGTGGCACAGTGTGATGAAATGTTTTCTCTGTTCCCTCAGATATAGCGGAGTCAAATTTTGGAGGACAGGATTTTGTCATGGCAACCAAATGGGTCATTTTCTTCTCCTGTCAAGCAGTTTGATAGACTGAGAAATT